CAGCGGCCATCAGTCTCCTGGCATTGCTCGGACGCGTGCACATTTTTTTCTCGGCGAGGACCCCGGAGGAGCGTCCTGGATCATCGAGCAAACAAAAACACGCACGAAACCGAAACATGCACAGGGAATGGACGTCCGAGCGACGGCAAGGTCTGGGCTTGTCGACGTCTGTTGGCGCGCTTCGCTAATAGGTCGGTGCTGGCGTTCTCCGTAAAACGTCAGGGCGGAGCGCGCTCTCCGTCCGGCAGAGCAAGGCGCGCTCGTCGACGTGCAAGGACTGTGCACGTGTTGCTTGGCTGCAGCTGTCAAGGGCACGCGCGCGGTGCTGTTTCGCGCGTGCGCCAAGGGCGGACAACCTGGCCAGATTGTCCAGCCGCTTTCAGCGCGAGTTTTTGCGCCGCACGGGAGCGGCTGCTTCGTGAGCTGCGCTGGACCGAGGTTGCCCTGCGACTCGCCCCAATTGGCGCCTTCCAGCCCTAGGGCCCTAGGGCCCTCGTGCGTGCATCAGCACGCCAGGCACGCGAGCGGGCATTCCGCGATTCCGCTCGCGTCGAAAAACGGCGCAGCGTTCTCGGACAGGCGCCGTGACGCGCGCCGAGTCAGCGCGCCGTTGGAGGAGGCCAGCGCGCAGCGCCGACTTGCCGAGTCGGCGGGGCGCAGCGCTCTGGAGTACTGCAAGCTGCCAGCGCGTTTGCCGACGAATTGCGCAACGTTGACCCGATCGCACCCTTCCCTCGTTTTCCTCGTCTTGGGCGTCCTGGGAGGCACTCGTCGCCACCGCTGGACTCGCCTCGAAAATCGTGTCAGAACGCACCCCAGGGGGAAGTCTGGGGGGCAGCGGTATCGGTACCTCTCGGTTTCTTCAGGTGCGGGCAGAGCGCTCACTGTAGTGCAGTGGGCCAGGGTCGGCAGGCTCGAGGACTCGCGCGAGACGCCCAGCGAAGTGTACACAGGGAACAGGTCAGGCGCCATGTCGCGATTGCAAGCAGGCGCCGGCACCTTGAGGGTGGGCAAGAGCGCGCAGCGCGGAGTCCTCCGTCGGGGTCGCGTGCAGGCCCGGAAGCCGCCGTCTCTGTCTGGAAATCCCGGGCGACTGCGTCGCCCGTGGGCGGGGACTCTCGCCGGGAGCCTGGCTGGGCCCCGACGCCGGGCCGCGCGCTGCCGCCCGGGGGCCGCGTGCCCATCCGAGCGGGTCCGAGCGGCCTCGGCGCCAGCATCGCCGAGAGGCAGAAGTCTGGGCAGTGTGCTTGGCATCGCTCGGACGTGTGCATTTCTCCTTCGGCGAGGACCCTCGAGGAGCATCCTTGATCATTTGGCGAGAAAGTGCAGCGCACGAGACCGAGCAAAGCACAGGGAATGGACGTCCCAGCGATGACGAGTGAGGGGCAGAAGGCTGGGCAGTGTGCGCGAGCGCGCAGTCGTTGCCTCGCCGCTACTTCGAAGTTCTGTCGGGGCGGGCCTCGGTCGTGGAGCAGGGCTTCGCAGCACGTGGTGGTGCCGCCGGCGCCAGAGGGCCTCGTGTCGTGGAGCAGGGCTTCGGGTGCCGCGGGGCTGCTTGCGACTGTTCATCGCACGCGCGCCCCGGCTGCCTACAGTCGGGCCGCTGAGGAAGGAGCCCCTTTCGCTGGGGAGGGGCTCAGTGTTCCTTGATTCCTTGATGGCTTGTCTCAGGTTCTCCTCAGGCGTTCGATGCGAGAGGGAAGTTAAATGTATGGAAAAGAGGAGCCTCGTTCCTTGACTACGGTTCCTTGTGACAGCCAACGCAGGCGCGTCCGCCCATGCCCGCCCCGCGATTCGGCGAGCCAGCGCAGCAGGAGACAGGTGGCGGTGGCGCGCGCCCAGGCCGCGGCGCTTTTGTAGCTCTCGCTGCTGGGGTAGATGGCTGGGCCCTTGGCAGGGCGCGATAACCTTGTGGAAGTCGACTAATGGAGAGGAAGCGTGCTGCCAAATAATGTCCAGATGCTTAAAACAATGTTTCAATCAAACATGCTTTAACTATGTAAAAACATGCTTGAAACATGGTTAGGACATGTTTTACACGTTTTGAACGCATGCTTGATTCAATGATAGGATTGTTAGAGTGTCCATTGTCATAGCATCCACAACCATAACCGGGAGCGACGCATTCTGTGGACGGTCGGTATGTTCATGCTGCGCGCCCCATCCGAATCGCCGCTGGCGCGAGCCCGGGACAGGGCTGGCAGTGGCGCGGCAGAGTGGAAGATTCGCGTTGTGCGCCGGGATGCGGCTGATGCTGTGATGGCGCAAAGCCAGCCCCAGGACAGCTTCCTGAAGAGAGGATGTTGGTGTGAGCAGGCGCCTACCGCGTGTCCTGTGCGCGCCGTTGGTTGCTGGCTGGCCGCGCGCCAGCGAGGCGATCGGCTGCGGGGGTGACCCCGCCTGTGGCGCTCAGCAGCTTGTGGCGCCGCCTGGGCGAGCCGGCGGCGCTGAGGTTGGGGCGAGCACCGCGCGCGCGATTCCAGGCGAGGGCGCGCGGAGGCGCGCGCGCGCGCGCCCGCGTCGTGCACCAGCGCATCGCAGCGGGCGGCAAGACCTGCACGCGACAGGACGTGCGGGCAGCGGACGCACGCTCGCGGAGATCCTGCGTGCGGGTGTGCGGAGGCGCGCGCGCGCCATCGACGTTGCGTCCGAGGTGCAGCCCCCGTGCGCGGGCCGGCCCGCCTCGCAGGTCTCCCCTGTTCTTTTTCTGGCGCATCCGGCTCTGCGCGCGCTCGAGCGCGCCAGGGCGGCCCGAAGTCGGCGTCGTCGCCAGTGGTCGTCGTCGGCGTCGTCGTAAGGGTCTCCCCTAATTTTTCTGGCGCCTCTGGCTCTGCGCGCGTTCGAGCGCGCCGGCCGCGTCGCCGCGCCCAGCGCGTCGGGCCGGGGGCGCCGCGTGCCTGCCTGCGCGCAGCGCCAGGGTGTCGGGGTGTTTTCTTGAAACTCTCTGGTGGCGCTGGCGTGCGTGCCCCGGGCGTTCCACGCGGCGCGATGGCCAAAGCCGCGCTGCGAGTGGTCTGACCAGGCGCCGTGGAGTGCCGCCACCAAACGTCGTGGGGGCGCGCGCCCACTCGGCGTCGGAGGCGTGGCGCGTGAAAATGCATCCCCACCCGCCCACCCCTGGGATCTGGACGGGTACTGGGTGCATCGTGGGGGTGTCGTAACTTCCGCGGCCTGCGCGCGTCTGAAGGGAGTTGCCGATTCGCGCCAGCACCCTCGTCTTGGTGGTTGAACCCGACCGCTCCTCTGCGCGCTGCATGGAGTTGAACTTGAAGTTTGTTTGCCCGCCCGCCGCCCGACGCCAGGGCTCTCACGCCCCAGACGTTCCGTGCGACGCGCCTGGCCAGGTCCGCGCCGCCCATGGCCTGGCCAGGCGCCGTCGCGGGTGTGCGCACTCATTAGGCGTCGGGAGCCCGGCGGGTGGAGTTGTGCAGAGCTGGCCTGAGCGCGCTTGTCGATGTCGCCACAGCGGAGGTCGCGGTCAAATCAACAGCATGTTGTTGTTGCTGTTGCTGTTGTGTTTGTTGTTGATGTGTTAGCTGTTGTTGTTGTAGTTGATGGCGTCGATGTTGTTGTTGGTGTTGTTGTTTGTGTTGTTGGTGGTGTTGCTGTTGTTGTTGGTGGTGTTGTTATTGTTGCTGTTAAATGTTGTTGTTGGTGGTGGTGTTGTTATTGGTGTCGTTGTCATTGTCGTTGTCGTTGTCGTTGTCGTTTTGCTGTCGTTGGTGCTGTTGTTGACGATGTTGTTGTTGTCGTTGTTGTCGTTGTCATCGTCGTTATTGAACTCCAAGCACTGAAGAGTAAGTATTGTTGATCCCCCCTCCGGTGATCATTGTGTTGCTTCAATTGAAGTGTTTCCCGCGAGGCTCGCACCCCGTTTATACGAGGGGAACTCACGGGGCTCAAGCTGGGCCCCAGGTCCCTTGATTACAACAACAACGGTTCCCGCCTGATACCTCCTCACACTTGATTCCCAAATCGCGCTCTCGCGCGGGACTTCCTCACAGTTCATGTACGCATCCAGCTCTCGCGTGGGACTTCTTCGCAATGTATTCCCACATTGCGCCCCCGGCGCTCAGGAATCACGCTCTCGCTTTGGCTTTTCTCACGATATACTTGGGAATCGCGCTATCGCTCGAGACTTCCTTTCGAGTTATGCAGGACCGACGCTTCAGCAACCCGCCTGCTCGACCTGGTTGTCTGGGCCCGCCTTCCCGACCTGCCCGCTATGGGTCTGCCCTCCCGATCTGTCCGTCTGGGTCTACCACTTGTTTTCTGCTCCTTGCCCCCCCCCCTCCTGCTAATTTCTCTCGTGCTCCATTCTTCTCCCTCCCCCTTCCACCCGTCCTCTCTTCCCTTGTTTTAGGGGCTGCACCAAGTGCACGTGGAAGGTAAGGAAGACATACCCCCGAGAGGGTACGATCGAAGACGACGAGGGCGGGTACAGAGGGTTTGGGATATACGTATCTATTGGAACGTGAACAGATAGGAACGAGCAGTCTTGGTTTGATTGTTGTTGTTGGTGTTGTTGCTGATGTTGATGTTATTGTTGGTATTGCTGTTGCTGCTGCTGCTGCTGTTGTGTTGGTGTTGGTTCTGGTGTTGGTGTTGGTGTTGTTGTTGGTGGTGGTGTTGTTGCTGCTGCTGTAATTGCTGCAGTCGGCTGAGTTGAGAACGCAAAGCAAACATACGGTTCGAACGCAGGTCTTCAGCAGGTTGGTGTCCAGGGACAGACGGAAGGAGGTGGGACGAGGAATGGCGGAAAGGGAGCAGGCGAGGGGAAGGGATTGGCGGGCCACTCGTGTTGGTGTCAAGCATGGTGGCTGTTATGTCGTTACCCCGCCTCCGAGGAAAAAACATTCGGGATTCGCCCTGGCTGTGGCACACTGTCCATCAAATGGGCCAGGGACCATTCCTCCGAGCACAGCGACGGAAAAAGGAGGGGAGAGGAGGATGCGAACAAGATTGGGAACGGGCGTTGATCCGCCGAACCCCGCGCGGAGGCGGAAGCCAGGAGGCGGACGCTATCGAGTTTATCGGTCTCCTCGTCGCCGAGACAGTCGGTGCCCATCTCGCGGGAGGCCTATCCGTCGAAGGGGCACGCCTCGCCGGCATCCGCCACAGCTGTGGACAGTGCCCGCCCCTCTTGTCGAAGAAGAAAAACGCCGTACCCATAAACTGTTGGCGCTCCGCGCGGATTTCTTGCATCTGCGCTGGACCCGCCTCCCTGGCGCGCGGAGCGCGCCCGGGGCGGCGCCGGAGGCGCCGCCAGGGGGTCCCGGCACAGATCCAAGAAGTGCGCCCGGGGCGCCAAAAGTTTATTTCTATGTCGTTGTTTCTTCTTCTGTCTTCCTCGCCCTGGTTTATCCCGATGAGTCATGGAGGTATGTACGTTCACGCTTTCGGAGCTTGGTCAAAGGTGAGGCATTTCGTCGCTACCCTTAAGAAGCAGCCCTTGAGCCAAAACGGTTACTACGGAGGAGGGCGGCGGCGTTTGTCATGTCTGCGCGCGCGTGCACGGTCTATCACGCGCATCAGGTCAGGAACAGGGCCGGGCTCTTGGAAGTTGCAGAGCAGAGGTTGGGTTGAAACGCCGAGCGATGGTTTCTTTCCATCCGTGCAGACGTGTGCCTAGCCATTTCCCCCCCCCCCCCGTTCGCCCTCGCCACTCCCTTGTTGTCCCCCTACTCCTCCTCGTTGTCCTCCTGCTCTACCTGCCGCCGCCGCTCGCTCTCCTCGTCGTCCTCCTACATCCTCCCCCCCCCTCCGCCTGCTCTTCCGCAGGATCGCTGCTGCCCGCTGCGGCTGGGAGCTGCGCTGGCCAGGCTGTGCGGTTGAGGTGACCGGCGGGAAGTAGAGCAGGATAAAGAGAGGTGAGGAGGAGGAGGAGGAGCGTCGACGTGAAAGACTCGCAACAACACGAACATGAAGGCTCCGGCTATTCGAGTTCAGACTGTCTGGTCGATTGGGCACAGCAAGTTGTTTGGAAGATGTGGCAAGGGCAGTTGACGAATTGAACCAGCAACCAGAGGGAGGGGACGGTTGAATATCAAGGGGGCCAGTCACGGGGTGATTCCAGTATTGGAACGTTCAGGCTCTTTCATGTTGTAGTATCCAAACTAACGGTTCCCAAGATTCGGAACATGTGCCAGGTTAGTTGGGCAAATGTCGCAGGGTTGATTGATTGCTCAGTGGCAAGGTTCGACATGGTTTTCGGACGTTCTGAATGTTCGCTGCATGGTTGTCGCAGACAACATGATTCGCAACCTGTGGACTTACCATGGATATGCGGATCTCCTACACTACGGCCCGCTCGACGGGCAAAAAAGCCACTATTGCTTATTCCCTTGGGGTTCGGCAGTTCGTTGCCCCGCCCTCCTTTCAATTGGGCCGCCAGGCCCTAGGTAGAAGCAGAAGCAGGTCTAGAGGTGAAGATACGAGGCAGGGGACGGGATGGAGGTGTAGGGGGTCGCTTGGCCAGTGCGAGCCAAGAGGGTGAAGATTATATGCCCGTATGCCCACCTGCCCTGGCTCCCACATCGTTTACGAGGCGCGCCAGGAGAGTCGCCGCGGTCGGAGTTCAATGTCGGTCAGGGTTGTGTTCGAAGGGATTTCGGGCAACGATGAGGCATATTCTCATTTGGGGTCGTGAGGGCCTCGCATTGTCCAGGAGTTCCTGCCGCTTCGGGTACCCCCACCAGCCTATCCACCACAATGGATTCGTAGGCGAGTAGTTGTGCGGATGGAAGTCGGGAAGCATTAGTGAAACAGGGGGGAGGGTGGGTACAACAGTCAAATGGAAGCTGGAGTCAGCCCGAGCAGTTCTCAGTAATGGCCAGTTTCTTGAGGCTTCATCATTCGCCACTGGCCCATCCGGGACGAATGCTGAGGCGAACTGTCGTTAGAAGGGGCGTCACGTCCGGGATCCCTGGCACTTCTCGGCGATACCGTGGTTGATGCATGATTCCCCCCAGCGCAGCACCGATTCCAAGACACGAAAGAGAGCAGAGAAGCCAGGTCCCTGCGGCGACTGTGTAGCTTGCCGCACTGGAAGTACCCCCCTCCCGGTCAGTTGCGGGAAATGGGCAAGGGCCTCATTGGGGCATACATGATCCAGGGCTCCATCCCTCTCCCTCCTCATGCTGTTGCCTTTGCACCCCCCCCCCGCGTGATGGTTCCCTGCTCCCTGTGGTCGTGGTCCTGTGGGCGTGGCGTCGTCGTCACCGTCTTCGTCAACGTCGTCGTCTCCCGTCGTCCCCGTCGTCGTCGTCGTCGTCGTCGTCGTCGCGTCGCCACCCCCCCATCTGATATGGAGGGGGGGCCTGTAAACCTAGGACCCATCCCATCTTCGGGGGGGGAGCCTGTGAACGCTCGACCCGGGATCATACGTTACATGTGGTTCGGTCGAGTTCAGAGGCACACTTACGAAACCATAGCCTTTTCAGATCCTTCGACACGGTTCTGAAGGATCCGCTTGATTCAGAATCGTTTGGCCCGTTTTAGTTTGCAGATATTTGGGTCCACTTGTGGAGGACGACGATGAAGAGGAATGTGGGATGATAGCGACACGAGCTCGGAGGGGCAGGATGGGGGAGGTCCGAGCGGACGAGAGGAGGAGGAGGCTTGAAAACAGCCATCAGGGGCACGTGGGTAAGAAGGAGCAGGGAGAGGAGGAGGAGTAGGAGGAGGAGCAGGGAGAGGAAGAGGAGGAGGAGGAGGATACCGACGACGGCGACGACGACGGCGACGACGACAACGGGGACGATGAGGTGAGAACGATGATGATGAGGAGGACGATGAGGAGGAGATTCCGGAGAGATTGAGGAGAGTGAGGGGGAGTCGTAAGCGAAAGAGAAGGACGAGAAAAGGCAGATGAAGCAGGAACAGAAGGATGAGTGAGAAGAGCAATGGGGGACTTTGGGTGAGGCTTCCTTGTTACTGTCGTCACAATGTTCGATCCCTACGCGCATGCGGGCACATGCACACTTATTCAATCGCTTCGCTCACTCCGCCGGCCCGTATTGCATGATCGCTACTGCTTCGGCGCGGGCTCGGGGCCATTTCGGCGCCGCTGGAAGGAGGAAGATGAGGATGGAGAGGGGGAGTGGAGGAGGAAAAGAGGATGAGAAGGAACGGAGGAGGATAAAGATAAATATAAGGAGGAGGAGGAGGAGGAAGAGAAAAGGGCGGAGGAGGAAGCCTCTCGATGGCATCTTGCGGCGCTCTTGGGGCCAAACAGGGCCGTCGTCCAGATGCTTCGTTGGGAGGCCCTGGGGTCTAATGAGAGGCCGTTCGGGGGCGCCTGGGAGACATTTTTGAAGCCTTGTAGGGCCTCTTTTGAGCCTCCTTGGAGCCTCCTGGGGTCTCTTGGGGGCCTCTTGGCGGCATCTTGGGCCATCTTGGGGGCCTCTCGGGGCCTCCTGGGGCCCTCTTGGGGCGGAAGGCTTGAGGTTTCGGTTCGTGGTCCCCATCTTGGGCCCCTCTTGGGGCCGTCTTGGGGCTCTCTTGGGCCGTCTTGGGCGTCTCTTGGGCCGTCTCGGGGCCCGTTTGGGCTCTCTGGGGGCCTTCTTGGGGGCCTCTTGAGCCGTCTTCGTGCGCTCTTGGGGGTCTCTTGGGCCGTCTTGGAGCATCGGAAAGCAGAAAATGCGACAAGGCCAAAATCCTTCCAAAACCATCGTAAAATACATGATTTTGGCCTCTCGGGGCGCTCTTGTGAGGCCTCTTGGAGGCCACTTGGAGCGTCTTGGCGGCTTCTTGGGCCGTCTTGGGATCATCTTCGGCGTCTTGGAGCGTCCTCTGGGCGTCTCGGGGGCCTCTTGGGCAGTCTTGGGGGCCTCTTGGGGCCCTCTTGGCGCGCTCTGGGGGGCCTGAGAGGCCGCACCCAGGAGGAAAACCATCTCTGAGTAGACCTTCCCGGGACCTTCCCGGGCTGCGGTCGGGGTATTTTTCGCCGGGGGACCCCAGGGGCCGCCCCGCGCGCCCGAACTAGAAGAATTGTGAACCAGTTACCGGAGATCTTAGCTCGCCTCTGGCCCGTTGGGCCGGCGAATTCAAGTGGTGTACGCCATTCCGCCGGCCTCCAGAAGGAGTCAGAGCTTGCGACGATTCTGGAAGTTGTCGAGTGGCCCTCGGCCCAACCCGCCACTGTGCCTGGGCCGTGGGTTCAGGAGCCTCTTAGACGAACGCGATGGTCTCTTGGGATGCCTCTCAGGGGCCTCTTAAAGAGTTCTTGGGTGCATTTGGAAAGCTTTTGGGGGCCTCTTGGGGCCTCTTGGCAGCGCCTCGGGGGCATCTGGGGGCTCTTAGAGCCATCTTGGAGTGCGGAGGTGCGAGATTGCGTGGGTGTGGGGGCGCGGGGGTGCGGGGGCGCGAGGGTGCGGGGGTGGAGGTGGGAGTTGCGACCGTGGGTAGCAACCAGGGCCAATCGCGTTCTTTAGTTCTATCGTTTGGCCGCTTGTTTTGGCCAAATCCGCGCAGGGGAGTTGTCAAGTAACTAAGTTGCGCAACCGCGAGCTGTATATTGGAGCATTCAATGTGTTTGCCTTGAGGTGGGAGTTCTTCGTGAGCGAGACCGCCCTGAACCGTGTACCTCGTGTTTCCGCACGGCTGACTTGCCGAGTTCGGCGCCGACATTTTGATTGTTCCATGTCGTGATTGTTTGGGCCCCCTGTGGTCTGTGCTCTGTCGTAGGCGACCCAGAGAGGCTTGTAGAGTCTGGTGGTGAAGAGGCCCTGTGTGGGGGCGGCGTGGCAGTTGTCGCGATGCGTTTCTGGAGGCTCGCGCCGCGTGTGGTTCGAGAGGTTGGCGCCATTCCGCCGGTCTTGAGGTGTGCGCGGGGCGGATGGAGTCTGGCGTGCACGTGTTTCCTGAGTGGGTCGGGGCGCAAACGGACGACGAATAGCGATGCGATGCCCAGGATGGTGTCAGGCAGGGAAGGACGGGGGTGGGCAAGATGCTGGGGTCAGTGTTCGGCCGTCTTTAGTAGGCGTGTTGTCGTGCGTTGGGTCCCCTTTGGAGGCTCCGAGAAGCAGCAGGATTTTGTGGAGGAGGAAAATAAAGAAGGGATTCGAACAGGAAGAGGATCAGCAACAGAACCGCCGTAGTAGGAGTGATGAAAGTGAGAGGCGGTGAGAACATGAACATCGAAAGGCCGTCCTTGTCATTCCGTTTTGTCACTGTAGGAGAAGGCAACCAGTGATCCCGAAAAGCCGAGTTGTTCGGATGGGGCCTTTTCGATGTGTGTGCAGCGCCCGTGAAATAACGTGCACGGTTTGGATGCGGGCGATCATGTTCGCACGTGGTGTGTATGTATGTGTGTGTGTGTGTGTGTGTGCGTGCGTGCGTGCGTGCGTGCGTGCGTGCGTGCGTGCGTGCGTGCGTGCGTGCGTGCGTGCGTGCGTGCGTGCGTGCGTGCGTGCGTGCGTGCGTGCGTGCGTGCGTGCGTGCGTGCGTGCGTGCGTGCGTGTGTGTGTGTGTGTGTGTGTGTCTCTGCGTCTCTGTGTCTCTGTGTCTCTGTGTCTCCGTGTCTCTGTGTCTCTGTGTCTGTGCCTGTGTCTGTGTCTGTGTCTGTGTCCATGTGTGTGTGTGTGTGTGTGTCTGTGCCTCTGCCGTCTGCTTGCTGTCGCAATTTGGCATGGTCCTGCGCTAGAATATGGGCCCATTCCTTGCGCTCTTCGACCCGCCTCCCCCGGGACTTGTCAAGCCCGTGGCCCAACACCCGGCACGCTCCAGATCCGTTGATTGCCAGCGAACTCGATGTTAATCGCGGCTCGGAATCATCAGCAGCGTCCTCGGCATCGTGGCACCGCTTCGGGTATGCGGAGTTCGCTCGGTCGCCCAAGCGATTGCGATGAGTCCATCTGGATCGAGATATTGAGGGGCGGACTTGAGGGAATACGAGGTGCAGCCAGCGCAAACAGCTGACGATAGCAGTGGCCAGTTGATAAACGTGTTTCGGCAGGGAGATTATCGAAGACGCCTACGGCAAATCACCACCGCCCCTTGCCTTTGGGAATTGCCCATGTGGCCGAGCGTTGTGGCAAGAACTCTGCCAAGCTATCTGACCATGTGTTCTCCCAGCCGTTGTGGAACCCGTCGGGGAACACTTGGGTGAGGGTGGCGGGGAAGATCAGGAGGAGGAGCAGGAACAAGTAGGAGGCATCTGGGGAGCCTCTGGGGGCACTCTTGGGGCCTCCTGGGAGCTTCCTGGAAGCCTCTTGGAGGCATCTTGAGGGCCTTCTTGGGCCTCTTGGGGGCCTTGGGGGGCTTCTCGTGGGCCTCTTTGGTCGTCCTAGGGCCTCCTGGCCCGTCTGACGCCGCCGGAAGCTGTCTTGGGGGCCTGTTTGGGCTGACTTGGGGTCTTTTTGGGGTGGTCCAGAGCCGTCTTGGAGGCCCTCTTGGGCGTCTTGGAGGCCTCTTGGGCCGCCTTGGGGCCCTCTGGGGGCCGTCTTGGGGGCTTCTCGGGCCGGTCTGGGACCATCTCGGAGGCCTCTTGGGCGATCTTGGGGCGATCTTTGGGGCTCTTGGGCCGTCTCGGGCCGTCGGAACGCCGAAAAGAAGCAAATGCCACAATCCTTCAAACACCAATGGGACAGCAATGATGTTGGCCTCCTCGGGCTTTCCTGGAGGCCCCCTGGTGGGCCGCTTAGGCCGTCCTGGAGACCTCTTGGGGGCCTCTTGGGCCGTCTTGGGTCATCTTGGAGACAGCATGGGCCGTCTTGGTGGCCTGCTGGCCCGTCTGACGCCGCCAGAAGCCATCTTGGGGGCCTCTTTGGGCTGACTTGGGGTCTTCTTGGGGTGCTCGGTCTCTTGGGTCGTCTTGGAGCCCTTTGGGAGCCGTCTTGGTGGCCTCCTGGCCCGTCTGACGCCGCCGGAAGCCGTCTTGGGGTCTCTGGGCCGACTTGGGGCCTTCTTGGGGTGCTCGGTCTCTTGGGCCGTCTTGGAGTCCCTTGGGGGCCGTCTTGGGGGCCTCCGGGGCCGTTCTGGAAACATCTCGGAGGCCTCTTGGGCGCTCTTGGGGCGATCTTTGGGGGCTCTTGGGCCGTCTCGGGCCGTCGGAACGCCGAAAAGAAGCGAATGCCTCAATCCTTCAAACACCGATGGAACATCAATGATTTGAACCTTTTCGGGCCTTCCTGGAGGCCCTCTTGGAGGCCTTTTGGGTCTTGGAGGCCTCTGGGGGGCGTCTCGGAGCGTCTTGGGCTATCCTGGAGCCAGTTTGCGCCGTCGTGGAGGCTTCTTGGGCGAACTTGGAGGCATCTTGGATTCGCTTGGACCGTCTTGGAGGCCATCGTGGCCCATGTTGGAGCCAGCTAGACCAGGAAAAACCTTTGGAGCCACCTCGCGAGCAGCCTTCGGGGTGGCCGGCGGGACGCGCCGAAGTTTCACGGCAGATTTCTTTTCAAAAAACAACTAAAGCCAAGCCAGTAGGATCTAGCACGCCGGGCGCACTTTTGACAAGCACGGGGGTCGGCAGATCTGTTGGCCTTCGGTCCATCCCGCCACCGTGCCTGGGTACCTGGGTGGCGGGAATGATCTTATTGGATGTTCGTTGGGATCTTGGAGGCAGTTTGGACGCCCCTTGGGGACCGTTTGGGGGCCTCTTGGGGCCGCTTTCGGGCATCTTGAGAATATCTTGGGGCCGCTTGGGGTCTCCTGGGCGCCTCGTGGGGCCTCCTGGGCGCCTCTTGGGGCCTCCTGGGGGTCTTTGGGGTTCCTTTTGCGGCCGTCTTGCGGCCTTCATGGGCAGTTTTGGGCGCCTCGTGGGCCGTCTTGGGGCCCTCTTGGGCCGTTTTGGGGCTCGTGGAGGCCCCTTGGGCCGTCTTGGGGCGGTCTTGGGGGCCTCTATGACCATCTGGGAGCGTCGGGAAGCCGAAACGGCGAGCACGCGAAAAGCCTTCAAAAACCTAACGACAATGAATGATGTTGGCCTCTTGGGAGGTCTCTTGGAGGCCTCTTTGGGCGTCTTGGAGGCATTTGTGGCCGTCTGAGGGCCATCTTGAGCGTCTTGGAACGATCGTTCAGCGACCCGGGGGCCTCTTGGACCGCCTTGGGGGCTTCTTGGGGCCCTCTTGGCCCGTCTCGGCGCCCTCGGGCCACAACAAGTAATGCAAGAACACTTCCTGGAGTCCCGAGAGGTTTCGGAATTTGGGGCCTGGCCCTTTAAAGACTCCTCAGGAGTGAGGATTGAGGCTTAGAGGATTAGACAAAGGCCCTTAGGAAACGCCCGTGCCCAGAGGCACGGTGGCGGATTTGATCACCCCCTCTTTCTTCTTGTTGATTGTTAGGTCGGGGCACGGTGCGTTTGCCAGCCATATTCGTGAGATTGTTGGCCGGGACGCGTTGGATATCGCGTCACTGTCGGCCAGTTCTTTTTGTCAGCTTCTAATTGTAGTTTGGCTTGACGAATCGTGTGATGAATCCGTGGCAGCAGTTGATGACAAAAGGCGCATTCACGCAGTCGCGAGACTCTCGTGCGCCTCCTGAGGTCCCCTAGGTCTTTGTGAAACATCCCGATGGCCTCCTGTCATCTTCTTTGCGCTTCGGACGAGACTCTTGGGTGGTCGTGGGATCGTGTTGGGCGGGGTCAGTCTCCAGAAGGTTCACGCGACACACTCCAGAAGCGGCCAGGAGCGTCCGAGCACCCTGGCAAACCAGGGGGGCAGGGCCCTTGAGAGTTACACAAGCCATCAAACACTCACAACTCTATGAGCCTTGGGCCTCTCCACTATGTGCTTGAATTACGGTGGCGGATACCTGCACCACTCAACGCATGGTGGAACTATCGTTGCAACAACATATGTGTGAAGAGGTGCGAAGCATACGATACAGCCTTCCAGCTGATTTCCGGAGAATGATGAATATGTGCAGTCATGATTGCATGCCAATTTGCAATTGTCAGGGAGTCATGGCGTGGAGCAGCCACTCTGGATGCAGCCACTCTGGATGCAGCAACTGTGGATGCAGCCACTTTGGATGCAGCCATTGTGGGGGACTGTGTGGTGCAGCCACTCTGCATGCAGAGTCGCGGTTTCTGGCTGCTGCGGGTAGTTGTTTACGTCGGCAGTTGAGCTCTGAACGCGATGTGCGGATGTTGCGGCTGTTCTTCTGACAGGCATATATGGTGGATACGGTATGTATTTGAAGCGTCCATGGGAGAGGTGCGAAGTACATACAAGTGGCACACAAGTCAGCAACATTGCACGCATGGTGCAACGAATGACGAGATGTCTCCGAAGAAACATGAGGGACATGTTGATATACATTGGATGTACGATGATGGTGTGATGTGTCAATGGTTCTATAGCACGTACGGCTGCAATTATGCTGTAGGTGGTAATGCGATGCGATGTGTGGACAAGTTTCAAGTCGTGAGATAATCAGGATGTGTTTACGATGATGCAATGAAGCAGGCACAACTGTACAGCGAGGGAGAACTGATCCGCGGGGTGGTTACACATGAGTGCGAGTCAGCTGCGCTGAAGTTGCCGCCGGGTTCCGATGGAGCAGGATGGGGTGCGGAGAAGCGGCGCGCCAGCTGGCGGGCAGCAACGAGCCAGAGGTGGAGCAGCTTTCGGGCGGCACGTGCTGCACAGAGGTACAGTCAGCCCGCATCATAAGGATGAGCGACTTGCCATGGCTAGCCTTGTATCCTTCCCCTTCGGCCCAATCCTTGGCCGCTTTCGCTGGCCGCGCCCCGCTTGTCAAGTGTCGGCATGGCCATCCAAGGCCCCTGCCTCCATCCTTAATATGCGTCCTAATTGTACAGGTTAACTGTACAAGGTGAGTCGGGCATCGGAGCGCGAAGCCAACCCCGAGAGTAGTAACAAACAATCCTCTGACAAGCCTCGCGGGGGCCAGCAGGGCGTGCCCACTCAGCAGCACAGACGGAAAGCTGCAGACGGGCAGGCGGCCTAGCGAGCATGATCGCGCCCTGCAGACGGACAGATTCGGCACTATACGCACGGGCACAGACGGGCAGACGGCACAGACGGGCAGATCCAGCACTACAAACGGGCTCAGCAGAGCGTGCCCTACAGACGGGCAAGCGGCCCAGCGACAGCAACGACCGAAGCGGGATTTGTTCAGAATTCTTAAGAATTCTCAGGCGTGCGCGCGCGCAGCTGCAGGAGTTTCTCGGCGGCGCGCCGAGGGGGAAGCAAGAGGGGCCAGGCCCGCTCAGAAGGGAGCGGGGCTCCTCGGAAGCCCCCTGGCTGTCGAAGCAGCCCTATATGCCACTTCCGACGCTTCGCAGGCCTTCCGAGAAGTTCCGCCCTCTCCTTGGAGGAGGAGAAGGAATAGGGGGAGGGAGGAGGAGGGGGAGGAGGAGGAGGAGGAGGAGGAGGAGGAGGAGGAGGAGGAGGAGGGGGAGGGGGATGAGGTTGCAGATGATGATTGATTGATTGATGGATGGATGGATGGATGGATGATGACGATGATGATGATGGTGGTGGTGGTGATGATGAAGATGAAGATGAAGATGAAGATGAAGATGAAGATGAAGATGCAGATGCAGATGAAGATGATGATGATGATGATGATGATGATGATGATGATGATGATGTTGCTGTTGATGATGAGGATGAGGACGAGGATGAGGATGGTGATGATGATGGTGGTGGTGGTGATGATGAAGATGAAGATGATGATGATGATGATGACGATGATGATGATGATGCTGATGCTGATATTGAATCATGAGGATGATGAGGATGAGGATGAGGATCAGGATGAGGATGATGATGATGATGACGATGATGATGATGCTGATGCTGATGCTGATGGTGATGGTGATGATGATGACGATGAGGATGACGATGATGATGATGATGATGATGATGATGATGATGATGATGATGATGATGACGATGGTGATGATGATGATGATGATGATGATGATGATGATGATGATGATGATGATGATGATGATGATGATGATGATGATGATGATGATGATGATGATGATGATGATGATGATGATGATGATGATGATGATGATGATGATGATGATGATGATGATGATGATGGATGATGATGAGAGGAGGAGGAGGAGGAGGAGAGGAGGAGGGGGAGGAGCAGGAGGAGGAGGAAGGAGCAGGAGGAGAGGAGGAAGGAGGAAGGAGGAGGAGGAGGAGGAGGAGGAGGAGGAGGAGGAGGAGGAGGAGGGAGGCCCCCCTGGGCGTGCCGCCGAGCCTCCCCCGTTGCCCCGCCCCGCCCCCCGCGCGGCCAGGACAGCCGCCAGCCGGCCTCGGCCTCCCACGGGCGCCGGCTTCGCCGGCTTCCCCGCGCCGGCGAGGCCGGCGTCGGCGGGGTGTCCCCTGCGCCCCGCAGGCGCAGCGCAGGGTGGCGGAGGTCTCAGGCAGTTCAGAGCCCCGAATCATCAGGGGTAACTCGGGTCAGGGCTAACTCGGGTTCGTTTTTCGGGATTCCGAACCCGAGTCATCACGGGCCCGAGTTACCCCGGATAATTCGGGCGTCCAGAGCCCCGAATCATCAGGGGTAACTCGGGTCAGGGGTAACTCGGGTTCCTTTTTCGGGAATCCAAGCCCGAGTTACCCCGGACCCGAGTTACCCCGGATAACTCGGGCGCCCAAGCAGTGGCGGAGCGTCCCGGCTCGCTCACAGCCCCACCAAACAATGGTCTAAGAATTGTTTAGTGGTTCCCACGAAATGTTCTAATAAGCCTTTCTGGCGGAGTCTGTCCTGTTTTAGCACATCGGGCGTATGTTCTGAGAGCACTGTTTTTGTTCTTAGAACATGTTCGGGTTCTAAGAATACTTTGTGGTATGACTATAGGAATGCCGGGACGGTCGGTCCCTGCTCAGAGGTCGTGGGCGGGGGGGCTCGGGCGGTTCCAAGGCCGGGAGGTCGGGAGCGGGTGCGGAGAGAGTGGGCAGGATGTCCAGCAGCAGTTCCTGATCATGTTCAACGGGACTCGCTGTCCGCGCCGCCGCGGACGTTGCTCTTTGGAGACAAGAAGCCGCCTGCCCAACAGCGGCCGCTGTCGGTTTTGGACAACATTTGTTGTTGGGCGTTGTACCCATGTTTTCCGTACGCATCTCGGGCGTCCAAATCAAAGGTGGGGCCTTGCGGGTTTGGGCCCTGAGGATGGGACGGGGGTCCCGAGCTCGAAGGAGAAAAAATAACACAAACATGCCATTCTGGCGCTCCGCGCGGATTTCTTGGATCCGCGCTGGGCCCCCCCAGCGGAGCCTCCAGCGCCGCCCTTTGCGCGCTCTGCACGCCAGGGAGGGGGGCCCCAGCACGGATCCAAGAAATCCGCGCGGAGCGCCAAAAGTTATGTTGCATGCCGTTTTTTCTTGTTCTATGGGCTGAATTTTCATTGTCTGCGGCCACCTCGTCCATTTTTGCACTGCCGACGGGAGGGATGTCCTCCAGGCCTCCCAAGTGGGGCCGGAGCATATGGGGTCGGAGGATCCCGCCGCAGCGCCGATGCGTCGACGATGTGGTTCGATGTGAATTCCGATGTTCTTCACGCCGATGGCGCGGGTACTCGAAGAAGAAAAAACGCAACAAGCATAAACTGTTGGCGCTCCGAGCGGATTTCTTGGATCCGCGCGGAACGCCAACAGCTGACGCTTTCTGGTACATCGCTGACGTCACCGGCGCATCACGGATGCATCGGCGATGCGGCGCGATCTTCTGGCCCCATTTGCTCGGATCTCATTCGGGAGGCCTTTGATGTGAAGTGTCTTCCCGGCTCGATCCCAAGAGGTGATCACATTGGTCACCTTTTCCCCCGGTTTGGGCTCTGGTACGTCTGGGGCTCTGACGAGGCCCAGACATTGCCCCAGCGGACTCCAGGGTGGGAGAGGTTCAGGGAGGAGGAGGCGGTGGAGGAGCGAGGACCACGGGGACAGACGAGGGAGAGGGAGCGTAATGGTTATTGCAGTTATTTGAAGGAGAGAGACAAGAGGAAGGAGGACTGAGGTAGAAGGTAAGAGGGAGGAGGCAGGAGGGAGCGAGGAGAGAATGGGGCGATGAGTCAATAGAGTTTCAGGCAGCTTTCAAATTCGGAGCACATTTGCAGCGGTTGGTTGCGGTGCCTGAGCTCTGGAGGGGGGCAGAGCCCACGCCGACGCGGGGCCGAAAAATTGCCAGCGCCCAGCATGCCCAGCAAATTCGTCTGCCCGCGACTCGCAAGGAATGTTGTGGAGGATTATCAACGGAGGGGAAGCATGTTGCCAAGTAATTTCCAGATGTCTAAAACATGTCTTAAACATGTGTTAAACATTCCTACATGTTCAACCCATTTAAAAATTCACTGATAGGACTGTTAGGGTGTCCATTGTCGTGGCATCCATAAAACACATGTTGTGTGGGATGGACCCACGCCCGTCCAGGTTGACGTTCGACATTCGCTTGTGGTCCGGCCGCCCGGTGCGTCTTGGAAAAAAACAAGACGCACCCAGCAAACCGACCACATTTGCACCACCAGCTCTCCTCCCTCGTCCGCCACAACGTGCAGCCTGAAACAAATGCGTACACTGGTGGTCGTTTGCTTATTCACTGCTTTGCCGATCGGCGCGGGCCCTCGCGTCCCCCCTCCCCCACCCCTCGTGGAGTAGATCCTGGCTGTGTTTGGCGCCTGTTTCAAGCAGGCGGAGTCTCCCCGTAGGACGCACTGCTGCAAACGGTCGCATTATGCAGAGGTCTGGAGCCATAACCCTCTCGGGCCGGGCGAAAGGGGGGGATTGGGAAAGGGGGGGTTACGAAATTTGCTGCATGCAGCTGGTTTCGGCCTCACCGAGGGGCCCATTCCTCGATACATGGCGCCTCCGGCGCCGGGAGGCGCCGGGAAAATCAGCTACGTGAGCTGATTCTCAAACCCCCCCTTTGCTATCCCCCCCTTCCCCCCGACCCGACCCTCCCCCCTCCCACCCCTTCCGCCCAATGTCGAAACGCCGAACAAGAAAACGTTTCCCACTGGCGACCTGCCAGAGATGGCTTCGGATGGCACCAAAAGCTGGCCTGGCTCGGCGCCCACTCGTCTGCTGTTCCGTGGCCGCCAGGTGCTGCCTGTCGCTGCGCTCGAAGCGCTGGCCAGGAAGTTCGAGGAGGAGGAGGGAGCGGCAGGGGACAGAAGGGAGATGAGCGAGGGGGAGGAGATAGAAAAAAAAAACGCCATAAACATGCACCTCTGGCGCTCCCCGCGGATTTCTTGGATCCGCGCATGGGCCCTCCCGGCGGCGCCTCCGGCGCCGCCCCTGGCGCGCTCCGCGCGCCAGGGAGGGGGGTCCCAGCGCGGATGCGAGAAATCCTCGCGGAGCTGGGAGGGGCGGCAAGCGCCGCGGCAGCGGCAGGAGGAGGAGGAGGAGGAGGCTGAGGAGGCTGAGGAGGAGGAGGAGGAGGAGGAGGAGGAGGAGGAGGATGGGAAAAAGAAGGAGAGGGCGGAAGGCTGGCTGGGCGCGCACGCGCCGTGTCCGACGTCCGTCCCGGCCCCAGCCCCTCCCTGCCCAGCGCGCTGCTGCTTCTCTCTCCGCCGACGGGGACCATGGCTCGGAGGCGGAAAAGAGGGGGGTGATGACTAGGGGGGGGGGGATATCATGGCGGGGGCCATGATATGTCCCCAGATTTTATGGCGCCTCTTCTTATTTCATTACGTCCCTGGCCCCCCCGCTGTGCCGCGCACATGCCGCCGGTCATGATTTGCACCCCCCCCTCTTGGACACCCCCCTCTTGGCCGCTCCCGAATTGCGGACCTGAGAGAAGCCCTCGGAGGGAGCCCATCGCGCCATGCGCTGTCAGACAAGGGTTCAGTCGGGCCTGTCCCTCTACGGGAGGAAGATTCAAGAACGGTCCAAAACTGATACGGGGACGATCTGTTGTTGTGATTTTCTTCACCAGCTTAGAGTATGTTTTGACTATTTTCAATTTGTCGTCCAAAATCCGCCTGTATGGGGGACACGCCCGACCTATGACAAGGGAGGTGTCCACATTGGAAGAGCCTCTTCCAATGGGGACAACTCCCTCGTCTGACAGCGCATGGCGCGATGGCGGATGGGCTCTGGAAGAGCAGGAGGAGGCGGTGGCGGACGAGCACTCGGATGAGCAGGAGGAGTCAGATTTTGATGAGGAAGGAGGAGGAGGACGACGACGAGAAGGAGCAGCAGCAGCAGGAGCGGTAGCGGGAGGAGCAGGAGGACCAGCGGAAGGCGATGTGAGGTAAATGCAATATACGTGTCGCAATATATATATATATATATATATATATATATGGTGTAAGCTATTCAGCGATGTGGTGCAAGGTGCGTGGTGCAATTGCAAGCTACGTGGCTATGTGGTGCACGCTATGTCTTATGATCTAAAGGGTGCAATCCACCAAATCGAGATACTGATTTTTCAACGCCACTGCTCGCGCAAACATCTCACACTCCCACCCGCAACTTGTCTTGCAAAACCCATGCGGTTACGATTGCAACAACTGTTGGCACTGGCTGCGCATCTCTGCGCCCGCGCTGCCGCGCGCACCCTCGCGCAACACGACCAGCCGGTTTGGTACAACTGGTGCGGCCCGATGGTGTTTACCGGTGGGAACTCCCCAGTGCGTCTCAAAGCCCGCGCTGGCGACACGCACACTTCAGTGCTGGTCTGTGATTCGGGCGGGCGCGGTAGCGCGATATCATGATAGTGGCAGCGATGGTGGTGGCGATGGTGACAGTAACGACGGCAATGCCAATGACGGTGATGCTGGTGGCGACGGTGGCGATGATATGATGGTGCCCACGTGCCAGTGATGAAGATTATTAACTGATGATGAAGGTTACGGTGGCGATGCATAATGGCGAGAACGGCGGTGATGCGATGGCCCTGATGGTGGTGATGTTGAGGAAGTGAGCTCGTAGAAATTCAGGGAAAAAGGCCAATTGAAGATCATAGTTGCTCATCCGTTTCTGATGAGCTATAGTTTGGAGCGCTTCGGGGAGAATTGGTCGCTGAAGGAATTCGGCACGCGCGTGGCGGTGCGCGCGTGTGGCCCGCATGGTACAATTTGATGTGGATTCGTGGAGTGGACGCGTGCTAGATCAACGCAGATTCACCGCGTGGTGAGATGAGAAAGCGATGTTTGGAAGAGACTGCGCAAGCCATATGGCTGCCACATGAGTTCAGCAAGTGGCAAGTGCGCGTGGGCATTACACCCGCCATATGTTTGATGAGAAGCAAACGGCTGCTGGATGGAAGCTTGCACACTTCATTTGTTTGACATGATTAGACATGTGCGCGCGTGGGGGCTTTGTATTGCGAGCGGTTGTCGCAAAGTGAGATTGTTAGATAAACGAGTGCGCGCGCATTGTATTATATGGCTGGGATGACGGGGCGGTCAATAACCAGTCGGGACTCATAGGATCTGATATGCCTGATGGACCGTTGTGCAAAATCAATATTGGAAACCAGACAGCCGCGATCAGTCCGGGGGAGGTGGAATCTAAGCCTCCAGCGAAAAGAGAGCTCATGTGGGGCGCGACGTGTGCCTCGAGCCACGTGGTGCACGCCGTGCGGTGCAGTCCTGCGTGGTGCCCGCCAGCTGGCGCAGCCTGCGCGGCGCAGGCCGCCGGGCCGGGCCGCCCGCGAGGCCCCCCACGGGCGGGTACCCGGCGCGGCTTCGACATCGCCCCTCCCCCGCGCCGGGCGCCCGCGAGCCGAGAGCTCGACGCGCGCCTCCGGCGCGCGGGCGCCCACGAGCACCGCCCGCGAGCGAGCACCGGCCGAGGCCCCGACGTCGTTGCCCGTCCGTCCTGTGAGGCAAGCAGGGCAGACACCCCGAAGGGCAAAAGTCGGGCGCGCCCCTCTACAGGAGGCATGCTCAAAAATAGTCAAGCAGTCCTCAGTGGACGACGTTTCGACTGTTGGTGGTTCTTTGCGATTGCTGTTGGATATATTTGAGTGTGCTTGTTTTCCCTCTCAAATCCGCATGTAGGAGGACATGCCCGCCCGGCCGAACTGTAAATGCGCGCAGTGTTTGGGGAACTGTGAAATCCGATGCGCCCAAAATGTATGCGGGAGAACGGCCGCTGGGGAAAGAGAGAGAGAGTAGTACTCACAGAAGGTCGTCGAAGAAGGGTTGGAAGGAGGGGCCAGGAGTTGATTTTCGGGCGTCGGTGGAGGGATGACAGCACACGCGCGACGTCCGATGGTCTGCGTCCGTGCTTCGACGGGCGCCTCTCCGACCGTCGGCAGGGGGCCCCTTGGACCCCCACATCCAAGATGTGGCGGCGCTGCGTGCACTGCGAGACCGACAGGCGGTTCTCAGAGCAGGGGGGGAGCCGCCGACTGCAGGCGACGTGCTATCGGCCAGCCCCGCTGTGCCCACACGAGCCTTGCGTTTGCCGTTGGTGGCTGGCCGCTCGCGCCCTCCAGGCCCTGCCAGCTCCTCGAGGGCCCCCACCGGACCAGCCACGGGCCAGGGGGAATTGTGTGCGTTCTGTGCCCCCATCGGGGGGGCCCCTCGGCCTCGACCCCCGCTCTAGAGGGGTCGTCGATGCGGCGGGTTTTCCCCCCAGTGGTCGGACCCCGGAGGTGATTACTCAGGAGGGACAAAAAACGCACAGACAAAATGGACCGTCGATCCCCTGGAAAAGATTAGGAACATGCGGGAAGAGGGGGGCAGGACGAAAGCCCAGGAAATATGATAGAAAATCTTGGGAATCTTGAGATTTGTGTGTATTTGTCTGTATGTCCTTGGGCCCCTAGCATTACAGCAGATTCGACTCGTGCCGACGCGGCGGCGATCCCAGCGCAAGCGTTCAAGGCCCAGCGCCAACAGCGGTGGAGAATCGGCCCAACATGGAACCACCTGGCGACCGAGAAGCCGCCGATCGTTAGAGGGTTCAAGTCAAGTCGGGCCTGTCCCTCTATACAGGAGGAATCTTCAAGAATAGTCAAAACATAGGCTGGGCGCGATTTGTTCCGCTGTGTTTGACCATTTCCCGGGCATGCTGCAAGAATTTCTCATGTCTCGTCCAGAATCCGCCTGCGGGGGGACATGCCCAACACGCTCCACGCGGCACCAGACACCAACGCCAGAGAGTCGTCGCGACACAGACCTGCCGCAGAAGCTCTGCGGCCCGCTGCCCGCCGCACCTCCCGCGCGCGCGCGCCCCCCCGCGGCGCGACGAGGCGCCGCGCCGCCCTGGGCGCGCTCGGCGGCCGAGCCCGGCGGGGCCGCCGCGGCGCCGCGCCAGCAGGCTGGAACGCCGCCCCCCCCCCCCCCGCGGGCCTTTGGCATCGCTCGGACGTGTGCATTCTTCCATCGGCGAGGACCATCGAGGAGCATCCTGGATCGTTTGGCGCAAAAAAACACGCACGAAACCGAAAGAAGCACAGGGAAGGGACGTCCGAGCGATGGCGAGGGCCCAGGGCGCCCGAATGGGGCCGGGGTGCGGCAGGCTCGCGTCAACCGGCGGCGACCCCAGCGCGGGCGCTCGAGGTCGTGCGCCGCCGAGCGGCCCCGAGTCGGCCAGCATGGAAGGACCTGGTGATCGAGAGGCCGCCGAGGGTTCAGGGTGGAAGCATCGGCGCGGTGTCAGGCACCATCACCAGGGTCGTCACGATACGAACTTGCCGTACGAGGATGGCATCGGCGATGCGGCGCGAGCCCGATGTTTACCACCCCGACGTCGCCGATGCGTCGCCGGTGCGGTGCGATCCTCCGAATCCATATTCGCTGGCGTGAAGGCGAGGAGGCGTGCCAGCGCAGTGTGGAGGAGGAGGAGGAGGAGGAGGAGGAGGAGGAGGAGGAGGAGGAGGAGGAGGAGTAATTAGGAGGAGGAGATGGACACTGCCACCCCGAAAACACATTAGAGAGCTGCTGGGGAGGGGCCCTGGCTGTGGCGGAGCCAGCGAGCGCGGCTTGCGCCCCCACGGGCCCCTCTCCGTCGCCGCGGAGAAGCGCACGGCCTCGAGCGAGCCTCAAGTCGGGCACGTCCCTCCACAGGAGGGATATTCGAAGATAGTCAAAAAGTAGTCTTGAGAAGAATCGTTTTGAATATCCGTAAGGGCTTCGCCCCATGCCGCCTGCCCCCTGTCTCGTCTCGGGCAATGGGAGATGCAAAAGCTAAATCATGAGGTCTTGGCGCCGCCGTGAAGCAGTGTCGGGACCGGTTTGTTTTTCGACACTGACCTTACGGATGTGCGTGAAGGTGCCATCGAATTTCAGAAATGTAGCAAATCCTATGTGGTTTTGGACCCTGACCCCACCTATCTGCGTGAGGGGTGCCGCCGAAAGTCAGAAATGTAGCAAATCCCGTATGTTGTTGGACCCTGACCCCGCCGATCTGGGTGAGGGGTGCCATCGAATTTCAGAAATGTAACAAATCGCATCTGTTTTTAGACCCTGACCCCGCCGATCTGCGTGAGGGGTGCCACCGAATGTCAGAAATGTGGCAAATCCCGTATGTTTTTGGACCCTGTCCCCGACGATCTGCGCGAGGGGTGCCACCGAATTTTAGAAATGTGGCAAATCCCATGTGTGTTTTGGACCCTGACCCCGCCGATCTGGGTGAGGGGTGCCACCGAGAGTCAGAAATGTAGCAAATCCCGTATGTTGTTGGACCCTGACCCCGCCGATCGGCGTGAGGGGTGCCACCGAATGTCAGGAATGTGGCAAATCCCATATGTTTTTAGACCCTGATCCCACCGATCTGCGTGAGGGGTGCCACCGAATTTCAGAAATGTGGCAAATCCCGCATGTTTTTGGACCCTGACCCCGACCTGCGTGAGGGGTGCCACCGAATGTCAGAAATGTTGCAAATCCCGTATGTTGTTGGACCCTGACCCCGCCGATCTGCGTGAGGGGTGCCACCGAATGTCAGGAATGTGGCAAATCTCGTATGTTTTTGCACCCTGACCCCACCGATCTGCGTGAGGGGTGCCAGCGAATTTCAGAAATGTGGCAAATCCTTTGTGTTTTTGCACCCTGACCCGGTCGATCTGCGTGAGGGGTGCCGCCGAATGCCAGAAATGTAGCAAATCCCATGTGTGTTTTGGACCCTGACCCCGCCGATCTGCGTAAGGAGTGCCACCGAATTGTAGAAATGTGGCAAGTCCCGTATGTTTTTAGACCCTGACCCCGCCGATCTGCGTGAGGGGTGTCAATTATTACCCACCCCAGCACTTCAGAGCACACGCTCAGGGCGTGCTAAACCTGCCCGTTTGGGCCTCCCCCCCTCGCGCGGTTCATCAAGAAGGAACACTAAGCAGCAAGAAACAGAACTGTAACAGTGGAAACTGGAAGCTGCAACTGGCACAGGAAACTGCGAACCTTCGGCCTACAGCCTGGTGGCCCCACAAGGGGGCTGGCGGATTTTTGTTAATACTTTTGCTTATTCTTTGACTATGCCTTATTTGTCGTCCAAAATCCGCCTGTAGGAGGACGTGCGCACGGCACCGAGCGAGCCCGCAAGCCCACTGGCGGCCCTTGCGCGGAGAGGTGCAGACGGGAGGGAGGAGGTCGCGACGACGAGCGGGACGGGCAGAGGAGGCGCGGGACGAGCAGAGGGCCCTGCTCAGATCGGAGGCGAGCGAGGGGGGGAAATGAGAAGGAGAAGGCCTTCTCAGAAGGCGGTGGGACTTCTCAGAAGGCCTCCGGCCTACTCAAGAGTTTTTGTCTGTCCTCGGGGAAGGCTGGGAAGACTTCTCAGAAGTCCCGGAAACTTCCGAGCCTTCTGAGAAGGCCTTCTCCTTCTCACTTCCCCCTTGGGCGCGCCGCCTATCAGAGAGCTTAAGTCGGGCTGGTCCCTCTACAGGAGGAATAGTCAAAAGCAGTCATGAGATAGTCGGAGGACTATTTGTCGACTATGTTTGGGCATTGTGGGAGCATGTTGGGGGTATGTTTCATTTGTCGCCCAAAATCCCCCCTGTAGGGAGACGTGCCCTACTTAAGGCTAGAGCTGAACACCTCTCACACCCACAATCTCTGGAATACTGTACCGAAGACACCTGCGGAGAGGCACCACCGCCCCCTGGCTTTGTGGAGACGTCCACGCGGCCAAATGTAGGGCCCAAACATGGAGAAGCTATTGGACTGTGTGTTCTCCCGGCCACTGTGGAACAGCTTGGGGGAGCACTTGGGAAAGGAAGAGCAAGGAACATGAGAAGGAGAACCATGATGATGATGATGATGATGATGATGATGACGATGATGATGATCATGATCATGATCATGATGATGATGATGATGCTGAAGACCATGATGATGCTGCTGATGCTGATGATGATGTTGATGATGATGATTATGATGATGCTGATGATGCTGCTGATGATGCTGATGCTGATGCTGATGCGGATGCTGATGCGGATGCTGATGGTGATGTTGACGACGATGATGGTGATGATGATGATTATGATGGTGATGGTGATGGTGATGGTGATGGTGATGGTGATGGTGATGATGATGATGATGATGATGATGATGATGATGATGATGATGATGATGATGATGATGATGATGATGATGATGATGATGATGATGATGATGATGATGATGATGATGATGATGATGATGATGATGATGCAGATGCAGATGCAGATGCAGATGCAGATGCTGCTGCTGCTGATGATGATGTTGACTTTCATTCAGCGCCGCGGGCCCCTATGTGCGTCTTGTCTTTGTGAGAAGGTGCTCCTGCGAAGCTTCTGCCGAGGAATCGTGATTCATCACTCTGATATACAATGACTTTGAAGAAGAGGCGGCGTGCGGTGACTTCGACCGAGACGACCAGCGAAGAACGCAGGGCGAGGGGGCCGCACCTAAGGCCGACTGTGGCCCACGGCTGGCCCCGCCGACCGACTCGAGAGTTACGGCCGACTGGAGGAAACGATATTCGTGCCTCGTGCGTTTCAACATCGAGCGCAACCTACCACTATGTATTAGAGTGTTCCAGCGGGGGCTGCCCCGCTCGATCCCAAGAGAAATCAAAACAGCCTCAGGAGTTCTGGGTAACCTGGGGGCTTCCGCAACTGTCGCGGGGTGCACCGAGCTCCCCTGGGTTCCCAACGCATTGGAGGAAGACGAGGAAGAGGCGAGGACCGAGGAGCCACAGCGAGACGCGGCGCGACGCTGGCCAGGAAGAGTCCCAGGGGGGCCCGAGGTCGAGGGAGGGGAGGAGAAGCTATTCTCAGGCGAAACATTCTGCACAACGGCGGGGGTGCCGACAGGCAGAGCAACTGCAAGGTTGCCTGCAGCAGCAGGCTCACGTAGCAGCTCAGGTGCAGCAGCAGGCTCACGAACCCGCTCAGGTACAGCAGCAGGCTCACGTGCCAGTTCAGGTACATCAGCAGCAGGCTCACGTACACTATCAGGTACATCAGCAGGCTCACGAACACACATGCCAAGGTAGCGTTGCCGGGCTGGTACTCTAACTTGTCGGGCACTCACGGCACCGGCTGCGCAACGCACTCCTGAAGCTCGCGCTCCAGGAACGACGCTGGAGCATTGCCCTGCTTGCGCTCCATCCCCACCTGAACGCAGGCCGCGATCACCGTCTGGCGCCAACGATCGTCTCGTAGCACGAATGTGATACGCTTTTTCTCTTTGTCGTACGTCTTGTCCAGACGGCACAGTCGTATCATCTCCATCTTGTTCTCCACGTTGTGGTCGTTGAGTCACTCCATCATCTCGTTGAGGTGCTTCTCGTTCTGTGCTCCCACCGACTCGCCGCGCTCGTGTAGGCCCGCGATCAAGCCAGCGAACGCCCATATGTAGGGAGCTCCGTGCGGGTGATGTGTTCCGTCCTTCTTCACCGCCTCCGCGTAGTTGTGCGTTTGTTCCGCCATCTTCAGAGCTTCGACCCCGTCCGACGGGCAGAGAAGAGTGTCGAGTAGGCATCCTCCGAGTTCGCGCATGCCCTTGGCCATCCTCAAGAGCTGCTTGACCATCACCGGCAGGAACCGACGAAGCCCTTCATCGCTGACGCCTTTGAGCTTCTTGTCCTTGCCTCCATCCTGGCGTGGCTTGACGCGGCGTGGGTCTGGAGCGCCATCCTTCTTGTCGTCGACGGCCGCCAGCAGCGCGGGCATGGCAAAAACGGTGACGCTCCACAAGGCGCGGAGCGGGGCGCGGCAAGTGTCCTTCACAAGCGTGTGTGTGTAGCATTCAGGTACACTATCAAACTCGAGCCCACACATTTTACAGATATTCCCCGAAGGAACCTGCAACTCCCATGCTTGATGGCCCCCACGAGGCCGA